CGCCGCTGCCATCTCGTGGTGGGCCCACAACTGAGGCGTAGCTGGGTGGGCCGTCCGGTAGTGGGTCGTCCGGTAGCGGGCCGCCCTCGGCGCATGCCGTCGATGCAGCCTCGAGCTGCTTCTCCTTCTGAGAGAGCCCGGCCGGGCTGGGGCTGGACTCGCGCCGCCCGGGCCGACGGTCGTTTGACAGTGGAGGGGTGGACGTCTCCATCGACAGCGGGTTGTCCACGATGTGGACGGAACGCGGCGGCGGCGGGCGGCAGGCGGCGTCGGCAGCAACGGTGCCGACGGCCGGCCGGGCCTGCTCTCATAAGACTGCCGTGTTGTGTGGCCGCGGGCTGTGGTTGCCGCCGTCCTCCGGCACCACGGTGGTGGTGGTGCCCTGCGAGCCGCCGCCGGCCGACGTCACTTGCAGCTTCACGATGTCTGACATCGCCAGCGCTGCAACGCACGGCCGAAGGTCAGTGACGCTGCCGCGTACAGACGGCGGTCCACAGAACCGCAACATGCGGACAACGACCAAGATGGCCGCAGCGCAGAGAGCAGTCGGCAGTGGTCTCAGTCGTATTGAAAGCTGTAACGCGCGGAAAGTAGTCAGCTGCGCTGTAACTCAGACAGTGGTCAATGGTGCTGCAAGCATAAAGAGAGCCGTCAGCATCGTCATCGGGCCATCGGTGCTCGTACCGCGATACCCTGTCACATAGACATATGGAAGCGCAGTCCGCCAAAACCATTTGCGTATCCATCCCGCCACCTATCCAGCCAATCCAATCCACCGTCAATCATCAACTTAACTTGAAAAGCATGACCGGGTAACGGTTGATAATTGCAGGAGGTAGCCATAATGACTTAATAGAGTCTGTCGTTCACTAGGGCGACCGGTTTCGCAAAAGTTTCAAAAAGTTTTGCTCTCCAGGTCTATTCTGATCTACGTCTGCACGCTGATCACACATATGGCTTTAAATATGTTTATTTCGACAGTGCTTGGGGGCATAGCCCACATAAAAGTGTTCCTTTTTTCGATGTGCTTTCATGAAATGCACAGCACTACGAATAGCGTGGCCACGGAAACATACTCATTCTTCACTGGTACTGCTAGTATATTGTAGATAGAGTGACACCAAACCAACATCCTATCTCCATCCAGCGTCTTAAACTGCTTGCACCAGAACTGGTAATCTAGTAAGTGCAGCATGTCCTAATAGATGGCGGTGGCATCGCTAGTTATGCTAGTTGACGTTCCTGCATCAGCTCACGTCAGGAACGTTATTACCATGGCCCAGGGGAGCTGAGGCTTGAGTGCTCCTCTCCCATCCCCCTCACCCTGGTGACATTTCGTGACAGCACTCAGGTATACATGCTACACGTTTCTCTATGCCTACGTTAAATGCGTGCCTTGGAAGTGAATGTAAGTGCCTTGAAATGGTAAACAGAATTGCTTTCTGTTGACAAACTGCATGTGTTATGACCAGCTCTACGGCTGGGATGGAGCTGGTGCGGGGTGGGGAGGGGGACATCTGGTCGTGGTGGCCACTGCGTAGATGTGCCAATAGAAAGTGACCGATTGTTAATGGTTGTTAACGGTTGACTGTGAAATTTTTACTCCAGCATTACCAATGTTCGCGGTATGGTGAAGGAAAGCAAAAACAGAAAGGTGACAGAAGGGTAGGATAACGATGAATTTGTGTTCCTAATGTGCTGGATGAATTTGTTGACGCTTAACAATAGCGATGTTTTACCAATTACTTACTGGTCTGCTATGAACACCAAGCATACATCTTTCAAACATGTTTGCATATTGCAGGCTTTTGTTTGTCTTCTCTTCCTCTAATATGTGAAAATGGAAAGCTGCGCTCCGTGCACGGTAACGTAACTTGCGACCTATATTCGATATTATTCAGGTTACCTTGACATGACAGAGATCTCATAAAGATAAATGTCTCCACCACAAGCACAATGCGGTGTTCGGGCCTGTTAACTTCCACTGAGCGAATTACATACTTGCCGGCAGGTCATTGGCAGGGTCATAATGGTGAGGCATCTGAGACGAAAATGATGCAGGTGGATGGCGAGTAAACGCCAGTGCGAAACTGTTAGGTGTGTCCGACGGAGTGATGGGAATTTCGAGACGGGCCTCACTTCCGGTGGCTCTAAGAGACAAGGTACAAATAACAGTGGCATTCTTATGGAATTAAGACAAACATGAGAAAGAGAGGCGAATGTTGCGATGTGGCTCAGATGAACACACTTTCGACACATCAGCTTTAGTTGAGCATCCTTTAGATTTTGACCTTGACTCTTGACAGCTCAAAACATGGTAAGGCTGATGTTTATAGACTGTCTTAACAGCAAGAACATGTTATGATGGCAGATGCGGAGGTCCAGCTTCCAGCGGGGGGTTTCGAATGAGATGATTATGCATTGGTGTGATAATAGGCATGGTGGTAGGTATGATAGGCATAGTAGGTATGGTATGATACATTATATCATATCACGATAGGTGTGGTGTAGATGATAGGTAGGATGACGTATATGATGACGTCACGTAGGTGCTTCCGAGACAGATAAAAAAGTCGTTAGTGTCATTACTTGTGTCAAGCCAAAACAATGGACGGTGCTGACATAAGGTTATCACATATCATGCATGTATATAATTCATATATATATATATATATATATATATATATATTATATATATATATATATATATATAGTATAGAGATGATATATAATAATTATATATATATATATATAGTCTCATCTCGCCTCTCTCTCATCTCTCTCTCTCTCTACCTCTCTCTCTCCTCCCTCCTCTCCTACTCTCTCTCTGCTCTCTCTCTCTCTCTCTTCTCTCTTCTCTCCTCTCTCCTCTCTCTCTCTCCCCTCGATATCACCCACCTCCAATAGAAAGCCGAATCAATCAGGTGAGCTGAACCAACAACCCTCGCTCGATGCACGTATCGTAGTTTCAGGCGATCGTGACGCAAAGCATTTCAGTAAAAATATTCACTGTGAACCCCGCGCGTTACATCGCTGCATTGCGCTGTGCGCTGTATGCAGTGAAGTGCAATAAATATGACCTTACGGAAACACTGTGGCGTTCATCATGTTGGCCTCAGCCCGGGATGCCCGAGAGGAAATGAGGCATGCTATAACGGTCATATATATATATATATATATATATATATATATATATATATATATATATATATATATATATATATATAGCAATTAAAGCACACTCCACAGACGTGGCATGGAATGCTAAATGCTGACCATGTTCGTCGGTTATCTGCTCAAATGAGCTGCTCCTACGCATAGGCAGGCAATTACGCGGGGGTAGCCCAGCACCTGTCGTCCGAGAGCCGTCGGCCAGTAATAACGTGTCAGCAGTAGCCCAGCGCTAATAACCAACGCGCATCCCAGTAAGCTTACGCCAGCGCTTCCCGCGCGACTATCTGTCGTTACCGGTCCGTCTCGCGAGCTAACGACAGCCCTGCCGTCTCCCAAGCCCTTAAAGCTGCCAGCTGTGGTCAACACCGTCGGCTCGAGCCGATTCCAGTAGTTGAGCACATCGACCGGTCCGAGAGTCGGTGCCGATCAGCTGAGCGTGGCCGCGGCTAGCAATCTGTGACCGTCAACAAGGCTGTCGAGCACGTCTGTGTCCCGGGAGGCCGTTCAGCTCGTTGCTGGGGGATGACAGTGGCGGCAGAGGGCTCGGCGGATGACTCCGGCTTCGAGTGCTGACCGTGGACATTATTGAATTGGATCGTCTGGGTGTGGAAAATGTTGCCGCTGCAGATACCACACTCAGCTATTGTGATGACTAGCCCTGGGTCTATGGTTCAGAGCGTTTGCGTTCTGCCATTTCTTATATAAGGCAGGTCTAAGGTTCTTGTTTGATTTCTTCATATTGCTATTTTCGGGGGGTGGGGGACAGCGTGATCTGCCAGTGACGCAAAAGGGATTCTAATCTCGCGCCCATGGTTCAAATTGATCTGTGGAAAAAGTATCACTTTGCATTGTGCAAGTGCATAGCACCCTATGCGTCTAACATCTAAAAGAATAGAGCAGACATCTATGCACGCCGAGTTTGCTAGCGCTGGTCGGTGGGCAATGTACGCACCGTGGTTGATGGAGGGAGCCGCAGAACTGGATAGAGCGCGCCGGTAAGCAGCGCTGTTCATCGTCAGCTTCCGCACGTTCTTCTCGGGGTGGAAGACGATGATGTAGACTTTGGGCGCGTACAGACAGATGAGCGCCACCGAGGCCGACAGGCTTATCGCCACGCACAGAGTGGTGATCTGCACCTGCGAACAGTGAGATTACCATTGAGACACCACTGGGACCGACAGGCTTATCGCCCCATACAAAGAAGTAATCCGCACCTGCGGACGGCGAGATTACTGTTGAGCCGCTGCGACGTCGGTTAATGCGCGGGCAGCTGGTGGGCAGAACCTGCGGGAATGTCACGTCAGCTGCTGAAAGATGTGTATTACTTTTACATTCAGCAATACCTATCACTTGTCTTTGAGAACAGGGCATTGGTAAGACATTGTCATTCAGGAGCGTCTAAACAAAACAGTTTTGCCTTCCGCAATCTAACACGCGCCCAAGCGGCCAGCTAGATACCTTTTGCTCGGGTGGGGGGTCAATTTGACCCCCTCTGAGATCTCAGGAACTAAGAAATCTAGAGACACTAAATTTACAGGATGTGTTGACCTGTACGTGAACTCACTTAGGTCGAAGTTTCAGGTTCCTAGGTTATGACCTTCGGGTCAAAAAAGGTCAAACAAGGTCAAGTTCCGGGTTGGTCTTCAAAGTGCTCCCGTAACCTAGATAACCGTTTCTAAGCAAAAGGTCACATGCTCATTCAGGGTCAGTAACCTTGTTTGACCTTTTGAAAGTCAAGGTGACCAAAATCATACAAAATGTTGACCTGGGTCATATTAGGTCAATAACCTATTCTGACATGTAAGAAGTTCATGGAAAATGTATAATGCGGTTCCTGCTATCAATAAATTCGAAATGAGCACCAGAATCTTTTCCTTAAAGCAAGCCCTAGAGTAATAAAACTGGTTGCTTTTAACCTTGGTCTGACCTTTATACCTGATTTAAGGTCAACTTAATTCAATCAGTACTTACCAACTCGGTTTTACCGGTACCTTCTAGGATGTTGAAGGGCGAACTGCCAGCCGTTTGTTACCTGCGTCCGCTGGGCGCTGTCCGCTTAGGGCTCTCATCCCATAGAGGTTTTGCTTGAGACATATATAAGCGCTTCCGTTAATCCCATTAATTGATCAGCTGCAATAAAATCTCTCTATTAAAATGTTTTCGAAATGCTTGCAAAATCATTCTCAACTGCACCTTCATGGAGAATTCGATGGAGCCCTGAGAATATATATTTTTGCTCATGTTGTGGTGAGCGTTTCTGGTAGTTTTCGGGTTGAAAGAGTCCGTATTCGTTAAAATTAATCACACAGTGTTCCTCATTTTGCAAGGGCAGAAAAGGTCTTTTATTCCAGGCCGGAAAAACGATGGATTTTTGGCAGCCGTTTTAAGATGGTTCGGCAGCTTGTGCTTTTTACCTTGATATTTTCAGGGATTTTAACCTACGACTTTTAGGATAGGTACTTCCATCTAATGATATTTTTGCTGGGGCGGTGCCAAGAGATGTACGGCCTCGTCTGTACACTCCGTTGTCGCATCAGATTGGATAATTCCCCAGAAATTGCCTCCGCCGGCAGCCATGGCCTGACTTTGACCTGCGACACATCTAATTTGGTTATGTCGAAAATCCACTATTTAATTGCCTACAGCTGTGCAAAGTCTGTTACCGCCACGCAGTGCCGTTACGACATTCTTTTCAAAAACCTTCGGGGAGGGGAAAAGGGGGTCCAGTGGCCACTTCACACGAGCGCATATAAAGTTGCATCAATAAACTTATTCCTGATTTGATTCACAACAAAATCCATGTTGGGGTTGATCGAGTGTCATGACGGGTAGACTTGTGGCACGTAGTATCGCCGCGTCTTGATGCATTAGACACGTCCACTTCTCATATTTCATGTTTATTCTCAGAAGCCGCTGACCATCTTCTCCAGGCTGTTCCTAAATTCTCCTTGCTCGAGGAACGCCAGGGAGGCAGTTGAAGAGAAGAGGAGCGTGGAATTGGATTGGAGCATAAAGATGGAGGATAATGTTAGACATCATGTCGTGACGGACCATTCACCAGCTCTGAGTAAGTGGACACGTACCAGAAAACAAATCTAGCTCCCAGGGATATAAAGAAGAGAATGAAGCTGGATCTGCAGCTCAATGGGGGGACTGAACACCACAATAACACTGCATGGACTCAATCCTCAGGCCACATGTCACGAGCCCCACAGGAAAGAGGAGAGGAGAAGTGTCCTGGATGTCTCAGCGAGAGCATGGGAAATGCAGGAGCAGCCTGCTCGCCGTGGTAGCTGCCTCATGAATAAATAAAACACATGTGATGAACAAGTCAACGTTGATCGGACAGGTCAATAAAACACAGCTTCCGTTCTGTCCTTGCTATCCCTGCTATTTGAACCATATTGCTGTGCCTTCCGTCTCGTGTGGACCTATGCCACTCAAGAGACATCGTGCGCTATCCATGGCGTCACATGTATAACAATTCCAGTGAAAATACACTAGCAAGACACCAGCCCCCAGCTCAAACTAAGTTTATTCTGTTGCTGATACGGTGGCACGTCCATATCATGTAATAAGTTGACTTAAGCCAACAACTTCAGTTTAACTTCAGGAATAATTCATTCCAAAGACCTAGGCTGGCGGTTTCTGCAGGACTCCGAACCAACCATGACACAGACGTCCGACACTTCCATGAGTAATGCGTTGGAAGAACTTCATCGCAAGCAGCGTTTGCCTTTTTGAGAAATGAGGGTTATTGGAGGCGCACATCAAAATAGCTGTTCTATCAGACTATCAGCAAGCATCCCACCGATAAAAGGAAAGTAATGTCATCGAGTGCTAGAGCGATTTTCTTAACAACCAGCGCGAAATCGCACTGGATACGTTCGGCGCTCACCCACAGATACAAATGTAAAACATTTATATTTCATTTTCTGTGCAGCTGTGCCGGTTACTTCGGTATTAATCCGTTTGTACCACATACACCGCAACGTGGCCTGCTTTTACTATCATGATCAAAAATCTGCCCCGTTTCGGAATTCAAACGCATCACAGCTGTTGTGAGAGTTCGACATGTGGATTGGTGTGAAGCACTTGAATCTTCAGTCGAACGAGCGCATATTTCCAATAATATTGCAAAGTTTCTATTTCGGACGAACCCACAGGTAACAATGCAAGCGGTGGTCCATGACACAAAGATCGACTGTCCGTAAGATACATGGCACATATCAGTTTAGATATCCAGTGATTCTGGGCGGGATGTTAAACTAAGAGCATGCTGGAATAATTTAAGGGCTGATCTCGAACACCCCCTTGGAGTAAATGCAACGCCGCCTTGGGTGGTCCGCAATGTCCAAAAAGATATGGTAATTTTCCCAAACTCATCAGATTTTGCTTCCTTTTGTCCCGAAGGGTATGATAAAACAAAATAACCTTCTGGACAACTTTTCTATAATCATTCAAGAACAGCTCAACGTATGAAAATAGGCAGCCGTCATACCACTACTTTTATATCCAGACGGTCCTGAAAACTCTTCAGTATCGACTTACATGCCGTGTGCAATTTAATAACAAAATATTTGTTGCATGCTCACCAAAACTGCAAGCTACATTGGTGCGCAGACAGCTTGGAACGATGTCAGTCATAAGTCGGTTGAACACATGTGATATTGCTGTAACATTTCTTGAGCATAAGGCTGACGCTCTTGTCGCTGAATATCCTGTTTGACACTGAAGTCTCGCTAATAAAAGGTTCGATGTACCTATCAATATAACCTCAAATATGGCGGTTTCGTTTAATTCAAAGATGAAAGCGACAAACTGTTCGATTATCGTGTTAAAATATCATAAAGTGGCATCTCTGCGGGTCGTACTTAAAATAATTGGCAGTGCCATATTTCAACAAACTTATAACAGAGCTTATAAAACTCGAGAAGCTCAGTAATAAATTGCTTTACAAACTTCTAACAGATCGCCGCACAAAAGTTGAAACCGCTGAAGCCAGCCAGCCCACCTACTTCAGACTCCGTCCGCCCTCGAGTCAGCTGTGAAGCCGTCACTGCCCTAGTGACGCTGAACCCACCGTCATGTAGGTCCATGGATGATGGGAGAATCTCTTCAGGATCCAGCAAAAACTCAACCAGTGTTTTCAAGTAAACAAGTTATCACATTCCGTGAGCTTAAAGTCAGTACTTTCCAAAGTTATCAAATTCCCCGTCACGGACAAACCGCGTAGATTCATAGCAAGGAGGCCGTGTATCACCCAACCCCTGGAGGTCATACAGGCACGGCGTGCATCGATGGGGAATTGAGAACCGGTTGACGCCATTCACTTAGACTTAAGCAAGGCTTTGCATGCCGTACCACACCAACGACAACTCCACAAGCTGCATCCGTATTGAATTATAGGTAAGCTCCTGCGATGGGTCATTGCTTTTCACATAGATCGAATTCAGATGGTGGTGATACAAGGATCCAAGTCCAACTGGGCACCACTAATGAAAATAATCCCTCAGGGATCTGTTCTTGGGTGGCCCCGTTTACGATCATTGTTTAAGACCTTCCTGAGCACGTGCGGAAGGTAGTCAGTAAGTGACCTATTTGCAGACGACCTCAAACTCTGACGGGCGCTGAGTCGAGATAACTGCAGACGACGACCTCGCCCATCCAGGCGGATTTGGGCGCCACGGAGAGTGGCCGAAAAAAAATACTGAAGCTATTCAGCATCTCCAAGAGGAAGGCCATACACGTCAGGTTTTGCGACCCCTAGCAGACGTCAGCCAAACGTTAGTCAATTCTCCTGAACAAGTTTGGGATTGAGAAGGTGTTCCGGGAAAAGGACCTTAGCGTTATTGCGGATAAACGGCTCAAATTCAATAACCGAACAGCAGTAGGTTTTACAAAAGCTTCAGATCCGTTGGCTGTCCTTTGCCTACTTAGACAAGAGCACTCTTCCATTTCTTCGCCACGGTAACCGCCCTTTCTGGCAACATGAGAGCCAGGCGACGCCACCCAGACTCAGCAGCTGAGTACGTCGTAAAGCCTCAATCACACACACTTTTCCATTCCTCTGCAAGACGTTGGTAAGGCCATTCCTGAAATATGGTTACATCATCCGGAGCCCCTTTGGAAAACT